GAGGAGGAGGAGGAGGAGGAGGACGAAGAGGAGGACGAAGAGGAGGAGGAGGAGGAGGAGGAGGAGGAGGAGGAGGAGGAGCCCATCCCCCTCTTACTTGTGGTGGTGGTGGCGGTGGACAGCAACCCACCATGCCTCCGGGCATGCATCCTCCAGAGTTGCTGGATCAGAGATTCTCGATTTAGCTTCACCCGATTTTATCCTCGTCCCGGCTTCGTCTTATCGAGGTGGAGGTGGAGGATCGACGGGGCTTTGTGCGTTTCGGGGCGTCTTCGGGGGTCCTGCGGAGTGTCTGCCTCTGGCGCCGCACCTGGCGCGCTCCGAGCGCCAGGGAGGGGGGGGCTCCAGCGCGGATCCGAGGACTCCGCGCGGAGCGTCGAAAGCTTGCATGTTTGTGCCGCTTGATGGCAGATGTTCCACCACCACTACCATAGGTAGGACGGGGGAGAAGGGAGGATGAGGAGGTCCTCCTCGTCGTCCTCCTACTTCTCGTCCTGGTCCTCCTCCTCCTCCTCCTCCTCCTCCTCCTCCTCCTCCTCCTCCTCCGCCCTCCTCCTCCTCCTCCTCCTCCTTCTCCTCTCCTCCCCTCCTTTTTCCTCCTCCTCCTCCTCTCCTGCTCCCCTCATCCTACTCCTGCCTCCTCCTCCTCCTCCTCCTCCTCCTCCTCCTCCTCCTCCTCCTCCTCCTCCTCCACCTCCTCCTCCTCATCCTCCATCCTCCTCCTCCTCCTCCTCCTCCTCCTCTCTCGCCCCCCTTATGGTAGTGGTGGTGGTGAAGCATCTGCCCATCACCATTTTTCCCTGCTCTGCGCCCCCCGCCCCCCGACGCCCGCGCGGGGCGTGTGCCCGCGGCTCGCCCGGGCCGGGCCTCCCCGCAGGGGGGCCGAGCAGGTCGGGCTGCTGCTCCTGCACAGTCGGAGGCGGCCGCCCCCCCCCTAACAGTTCGGGGAGCGCAAGGCTCTAGGTGCGCCGAGAACCCAGACCCCTCTCCTCCTCCTCCTCCTCCTCCTTCCTCCTCCTCCTCCTCCTCCTCCTCCTCCTCCTCTTCTCCTCCTACTCCTCCTCATCCTCGCTCCTCCTCCTCATCATCATCATCATCATCATCATCATCATCATCATCATCATCATCATCATCATCATCATCATCATCATCATCATCATCATCATCCTACGACGGAAGGTTTCCTGCCATTTTCGGACCCTGGGGCCCTCGCCGGGCCTCGGGACCGTCAACGAAACGACTCAGGACGAAAGACCGGTCCCAGGGAAAGGGTCTGGACTTCTGGGGACGCCGTCCCGAAAACATCAGGGCGTCGCATGTCTGGGCAAGGCTCGGGTGCGCCGGACCCAGACCCCCTCGCGCTGCGAACAAGAGTCAAGAGCCTCCGGGGGGCCTTCCCGCCCTGACTCCTGATCCGCCCTACTTTGGGCGATTTCGAAAGTAGGGCGGAAATTTCCGCCCTACTTTCGAGGCCCCTTTGAGCGTCGATTATGTCTGCAGCGGGAGTTGGCGTCGAAGCTCAGACTGGGTCTCGTCTTACGATGTTCCAACCCACCTTAGCCTTGATCACCAGGAAGAATTTCGAGCACCAGGAAAGTACCGAAGCTGGAGGGTCTTCACGTGTCGGGACCTGGGAGGCGACACTCGTTCGACGCTGCCTCGATACTTTTCAGGGTGCTCGAAATGACGTCTGGGATGCGTGGCCCTTCCTGTACGATGAGTGCGCAGGCCGTTGCCACCCCAGGGAACAGCGAGGTCCCGCCCGGGCCCGCGCACTCCCCGCGACTCCACCGTGCCCCCCAGGAGCCCACGAGCGTGGCGACGGCTGCGCAGTTCGTTGCCGCCCAGGGGAGAAGCCAGACCCCCGACGTAATGATTTTTTCATGACATCGACCCCCAGAGGTCCCGACCCTTTCCCCATGACCGGCTTTGCATCCTGAGTCGTTTTTTGACGCTCCCGAGGCCCGGTGAGGGCCCCCGGAGGCCGAAAACTGGGAAAAACCTCCCGTCATGATTTTTTCATTACTCGAGGGGGTTTGGGAAGCGAGGTCCCGTCTGGGTCCGCGTTCTCCGCGACTCCGCCGTGCCTCCCGGGAGCCCCCCGGGCGTGGGGGGGACTCGGGCGGGCCCCGGCGGGCCCGCGCGAGTCCCCTCCTCCTCCTCGACCTCCTCCTCCTCCTCCTCCTCCTCCTCCCTCCTCCTCCCCTCCTCCTCCTCCTCCTCCTCCTCCTCCTCCTCGCCGAGCGCCGCCCCGGAGCGTCCGCGCCGGGCGGGCGCGCACGTCGCCGGTGCCTCCCCCCCTTGGGGTCCGAGCAGGGGCCAGAGGAGCGCGCCGCAGCGCCGAGGCATCGGTGGCTGCGCTGCTGGAGACCCAGCCCTGACTCCTGATCCGCCCTACTTTGGGCGATTTCGAAAGTAGGGCGGAAATTTCCGCCCTACTTTTGAGGCCCCTTTGAGCGTCGATTTCCGCCCTTGAGGCTCCTTTGGCGTCGATTTCCGATACAATTTTAGGTCGGAAAATCATCCAAAGTACGGCGGATCAGGAGCCAGGGCAGAGATCCAGCGCGCTGAAAGGAATCAAGACGGAGGTCTTTCGCCGTTTGCGGCGCCCAGAGGCCCTCGCTGGGCCTCGGGAGCGTCAAACATGGACTCAGGACGTCAAGCCGGTCCTGGGGAGTGGGTCGAGACTTCCGGGGTCCCCCCTTGGGGTCCGGGCAGGGGCCAGAGGAGCGCGCCGCACCGCTGCCCTGACTCCAGATCCGCCCTACTTTGGCTTTCTTCCCACTTGAAACTGCACCTATGAGAAGCCGAAAAAGTAGGGCGGACATTTCTGCACCCAACATAAAGTAGGGCGGACATCCACAGAAGTAGGGCGGAAGCAGCAGCAGAAAAGTAGGGCGGAGATTGGCATCAGCGGGGCTTGAAAAGTAAGGCGGAAACTCCAAGCCCCACTTACGAATTTCCCCAAAGTAGGGCGGATCCGGAGTCAGGGCGATGCATCGGTGGCTTCGCTGCTTCGATACGCCCGTTCTGGTACCCAGAGATTCGGGCCGGACGACAGGGGGGGTCACGAAATCTTCCCGCACGCAGCCGGTTTCGGCCCCGCCGCCGGGCCCATGCCTCGATACATGGGCTCTTCCCGGCGTCGGGAGGCGCTGGGAAAATCAGCTGCGTGAGCTGATTCTCAAACCCCCCCCCTTTGCGATCCCCCCCCAGACATGCGACGTCCTGATTTTTTCAGGACGGCGTCCCTGGAAGTCCAGACCCTTTCCCCAGGGCTGGTTTTTCGTCCCGAGTCGTTTTCTGACGGTCCTGGGGCCCGGCGAGGGCCCCCAGGGGCCGAAAATATAGCGAAAAACTCCCCGCCCCGATTTTTTCTACGACCCCATCCTGTCTGGGCCCCTTCCGCCCGGGCCCGAGAGATCCTGGCGGCTCCGAGCTATTCCGAGCCCGGGCGCTGTCGCTCCGTGTTTCGGGCCCCGGGGGACTCCTCGCGGCTCGGCGCGGCTCGAGGAGCGACGCGGGCAGCCCTGACTCCTGATCCGCCCTACTTTGGGCGAGTTCGAAAGTAGGGCGGAGATTTCCGCCCTACTTTTGCGGCCCCTTTGAGCGTCGATTTCCGCCCTTGAGGCTCCTTTGGCGTCGATTTCCGACACAATTTTAGGTCGGAAAATCATCCAAAGTACGGCGGATCAGGAGCCAGGGCAGATGGGGCCCAGGGGTCCGGTCGTGGTTTCTGGCGACGTTGGGATTTCGCCCCAGACATGATGGCGTCGTGACAAAAATCAGGGCGGGCGGTTTTTCGCTGTGTTCGGCCCCTGGGGGCCCTCGCCGGGCCTCGGGACCGTCAAAAAACGGCTCGGGACGAAAAACCGGCCCTGGGGAAAGGGTCTGGACTTCCAGGGACGCCGTCCTGAAAAAATCAGGGCGTCGCATGTCTGGGGAGATTTCGCTGCAGCATCTCAGGGCACGCATAGGGGGCCAGAGGCGAACCCTACCCCTACCCCCCACGATTTCTGAGGGGGAGGGTGGGGTTCCCTTCGTTCGGGAGCTCCCGAGGAAGTGAACCCCACCCTCCCCCTCAGAAATCGTGGGGGGTAGGGGTAGGGTTCCCAGACATGCGACGTCCTGATTTTTTCAGGACGGCGTCCCTGGAAGTCCAGACCCTTTCCCCAGGGCCGGTTTTTCGTCCCGAGTCGTTTTTTGACGGTCCTGGGGCCCGGCGAGGGCCCCCAGGGGCCGAAAATAGCGAAAAACCTCCCGTCCTGATTTTTTTACGACGCCATCATGTCTGGGTTCACATCTGGCCCCCTAACGCAGCACGCATCGCGTGCCCAACGCGTCCGTACCGTGTGCGTGGCGCGGCGGCGCAGCGCACTGCCCCACGCAACGCAACGAGCGCGCCGCGCCCGGCCTGCGTGTTCTGCGGTCTCCGGCCCGCGGGGAGCTCCGCATTTGTCGGTGCGCTGGGCGTGCTGCGTGCGGCGCAGTATCGGGGCAGCCACGGCCAGCGATGTGCCTCGAGGTGGACCCAGACCCCCTCGAGTAATGAAAAAATCATGACGGGCGGTTGTTCCTAATTTTCGGCCTCCGGGGGCCCTCGCCGGGCCTCGGGAGCGTCAAAAAACGGCTCGGGATGACGAGCCGGTCCTGGGGAAGGGGTCGAGAACCCAGACATGCGACGTCCTGATTTTTTCAGGACGGCGTCCCTGGAAGTCCAGACCCTTTCCCCAGGGCTGGTTTTTCATCCTGAGTCGTTTTTTGACGGTCCTGGGGCCCGGCGAGGGCCTCTAGGGGCCGAAAATAGCGAAAAACATCCCGTCCTGATTTTTTTACGACGCCATCATGTCTGGGAACTCTGGGGTCGACGTAATGAAAAATTCATTACGTCGGGGGTCTGGGATCGGGGCGGCCGCGGCCAGCGATGCGCTTCGAGGTGGCGGCAGGGCTTCTCGGCGCCGACGGTGCCCAGCCAGACAGGGGAGGGCGCCGTGAAGGCGTCGGGGCGGAAGGGTTCTCGCTGCTCTCGGCCCCCGCGGGGGCCCTCGCCGGGCCTCGGGGCCGTCGACAAACCCAGACATGATGGCGTCGTAAAAAAATCAGGACGGGAGGTTTTTCGCTATTTCCGACCCCTGGGGGCCCTCGCCGGGCCTCGGGAGCGTCAAAAACCGACTCGGGACGAAAAACCGGCCCTGGGGAAAGGGTCTGGACTTCCAGGGACGCCGTCCTGAAAAAATCAGGACGTCGCATGTGGGAACGATTCAGGGTGAAAAGCCGGCCCCAGGGAAGGGGTCTGGACTTCCAGGGACGCCGTCCCGACAAAGATCAGGGCGCCGCATGTCTGGGCAGGCACCGCCGACTTCGGCGAGGCACCGCCGCTGCATCGGCGGTGCGGCACGCTGCTCCGGCTCCGACCCCACGCGGGCCCCGTGGGGGAGGCCCCCGGATCTGCTCCCGCCTCCCGCTGCAGCGGCGGGGCGTCCCGGCTTGCCTGTAGGCCTACCAAGCAGAAATGTTCTGAGAACCTTCCGTGGTCTGCACGACACGTTCTCAGAACACTTCTGGCTCAGACGGTTTTGTTGTTTTGTTTCAGCACGTCAGGCTCATGTTCCAAGAATGCTGTCTTTGTTTTTAGAACACTTCTGGGTTCTAGGAACATGTCGTGGGTAGGCCCATAGGCATGATGGGGCGGTCGGCCCCTGCTCAAAGGCTGCCTCCCTCCCCCGGCCGCCCGTGCCTTGTGCCGGCCGCCTCTTCGTTCGCTCTCCTGGGTCTGCCGAGGGTGGTTTTTAGACCCCTCGGCCGCCCCTCGCGTGTACAGGTCGTCGCGACCGCGTGCCCTCGACGTTTTTGCCTCCAGCCGAGCTGGAGCGAGTCCGTCGGAGGCGCCCGGGTCGGCGGGTCGACGGCGAGCTCCGTTCGCTCCCCCGGTCGGCCGGGGGGGGTTTTGGGACCCCTCGGCCGCCCCCATCCTGTACAGGTCGTCGCGACCGCGGGCCCTCGACGTTTTTGGCTCCGGCCGAGCCGGAACGAGGACGTCGGAGGCGCGCGGGTCGGCGGGTCGGCGGCGAGCCGCTCCGCGCGAGCCAGCGGCGGCCGCGCGGCGGTGGCGCGCGGCTGCCCGCTCTTGCACGCCCTGGGGAGGCCGCAACGCGGTCGAGCGCTGCAGCCACCTCCCGCGGTGCCCTCCCTTGCACGCCAGCCTTGCCCGCACAGACAGGCAGATTGCCGGTGCCCTGGGGCGAGGGAGGAGGAGGAGGAGGAGGAGGAGGAGGAGGAGGAGGAGGAGGGGCGAGGAGGAGGAGGAGAGGCGAGGAGGAGGAGGAGGAGGAGGAGGAGGAGGAGGAGAAGGACGGGCAGGAGCGCGGGCAGGAGGAGGAAGAGGAGGGCCGTGCCCGAACCGCTCGTGGAGACCACAGGGAGGCACGCCGTTCCCCTTGCTGCCCCGCTGCCCCCCTGGAGACCAGACGGAGGCACGCCGTTCTCTGCTGGCCCGCGCAGCAGCGGGAGTTCAGCCTTGCTCGCAGCCTTGCCTCCGCATGATTATATAAGTGCAGGCGTAGCGGGGCTCGCGAGGTGCGAATCGGGGACCTCGCCTGCTTCGGAGGAAACGATGCCAAGATGCTCATGCTGATGCTGACGACGACGACGACGACGACGACGACGACGACGATGATGATGATGATGATGATGATGATGATGATGCTGATGCTGATGCTGATGCTGATGCTGATGCTGATGCTGATGCTGATGCTGATGCTGACGATGAAGATGAGGATGAGGATGATGATGACGATGATGATGACGACGACGTTGATGATGATGATGATGATGATGCTGGTGATGGTGATGATGATGATGATGGCGGTGGTGATGATGTGATGATGTTGATGATGCTGCTGATGATGATAATGATGGTGATGCTGATGCTGATGGTGGTGGTGATGAAGGTAATGGTGGTGATGACGAGGAGGAGCAGGAGATGCTGATGCTGATGGTTATTTTGATGATGCTGATGCTGAGGATGATGATGATGATGATGATGATGGTGAGGATGATGTCGATGATGTTGATGCTGCTGATGATGATGGGGGTGGTGGTGGTCGTGATGATGGTGCTGATGGTGCTGATGACGATGATGATGCTGATGATGATGATGATCATGATGATGATGCTGCTGATGATGATGATCATGATGATCAGAATGATGATGATGACGATGATGATGCTGATGCTGATGATAATGGTGATGATGATGCTGATGATGCTGATGATGATGACGATGATGTCGATAGTGACGTTATTGCTGATTCTTATGATGCCGAAGATGGTGCTGATTCTGATGATGATGACGATGCTGATGCTGCTGATGATGGCTGTCGTGATGATGGTGATGATGCTGATGATGATGATGCTGCTGCTGATGATGATGAGTATGACTATGATTATCATTATGCTGATGACAATGCTGCTGCCGATGGTTGTGGTGATGATGATGATGATGATGATGATGATGATGATGATGATGATGGTGGTGGTGGTGGTGACGACGAGAAGGAGAAGAAGGAGAAAGAGGAGCATGATAGCATGATGATGATGCTAATGCTGCTGTTGCTACGGCTGATGATGATGGTGGTGATGATGAGCTGCTGCTGCTGCTGCTGAGAATGAGCTGCTGCTGATGATGATGATGCGGATGCTGCTGCTGATGATGATGATGAGTTGATTCTGATGGTGATGATACTGATGATGCTGCTGATGATGATGACGATCATGATGATGGTGGTGATGCTGCTTATAATGAGGATGATGATTATGGTGGTGGTGGTCGTAATGATGATGCTGATGATGATGATGATGATGATGATGATGATGATCATGATGATCCTGATGACTATTCTCCTGCCGCTGATGGTGGTGATGATGGTGGTGGTGATGACGAGGAGGAGAAGGAGGGGCATGATGCTAATGCATTTGCTGATGTTACTCCTTCTGATGATGATTAGTATGATTAGTGTGATTGTGATGATGATGGTGACGATGGTGATCATGATAATGATGATGATGATGATGATGATGATGATGATGATGATGATGATGATGATGAGTAGGTTTATGCTGTTGCTGATGATATGCAGGTGATGATGATGGTGGTGATGATGATGATTATGCTGATGCTGCTGAGACGACGATGACGATGATGATGATGGTGGTGATACTAATGCTGATGCTGCTGATGATGCTGGTAGTGATGATGGTGATGCTGGTGATGATGCTGCTGATGATGCTGATGATGGTGATGCTGATGCTGATGCTGATGCTGATGATGATGATGATGATGATGATGATGATGATGATGATGATGCTTACTGCGGGGCCACGATCAACGACACGTCAGACAGCGCAGCGGACGTCGCTAGACAGTCCCAGGGTCCGACGCGCCGCGACCAGAAGGGGGGGCAGACGACATGTGGTCCGCCGACTGCCAGCACACCAGTGATCCGGCAGTGGGTATGGCATGTGGCGTGCCGAGAGCCAACGCGCCGCGCGCAGAGACACTTGGTGGCCACCGGCGCCGACCCAGCGACCGAAGTGCGCCGGAATGGGCCAAGGGGAGCTCCCAGAGACAAGGCGGCCAGACCACCAGCCACCAGCCCCGCAGGAGCGCCTCCAGGACAGGGAGCGCGAGGTGTCCGCGGACCGCCCCGCGAGCATCCCCTGGGATCTCCGACGCCGCGACAAGAACTGCAGCATCGCAGAAAGTCGCGACCAGAGCCCTGGACCCCATCCTTCTGCGCCACGTCTCACGACGTCGGAGGCCTGGGGAAGGAGCAGCCGGGGGAGGAGGAGGACGAGGACGAGGAGGAGGAGGAGGAGGAGGAGGAGGAGGAGGAGGAGGAGGAGGAGGAGGCGAGGAGGGAGGAGGAGGGGGAGGAGGATGAGGAGGAGGAGGAGGAGGGGTCTCGGTGGGCACGAGAACTCGACGGCAGCCCCGGGGGGCACCGGACGCCCGGACGCCGGGGGCGGCAGCGCCCGTCGCGGCACAGGTTGCAGCGCCGGGCTCTCGGGGGCCCGACTGTGAGGGGCACCTGCGGGACCACCTCACCACCCCGGGGCAGGCAGCGCTGAGGCCAGAGGAGATCCCTCTCCTCCTCCTCTTGGGTCCCCTCTCCCCTCCCTCTTCCCCCTCCTCTCCTCCCCCTACCTCCTCTCCCTCCTCCCTCCCCCTTTTCCTCCCCCCCTTCTCCTCCCCCTCCCCCTCCCCCTCTCCCCAGCCCACCAGCCCTCTGGGCGTCGGGCGGAAGCGCCCGACGCCCAGAGGACTGGCGGGATGAAGCACCTGCGGCGGACTTCTAGACTGCCGACGTCCCCGCCGCGCCCTCACTCCTATCCGCAACTGCAGGGTGCTGCATGTGTGCGTGTATAGGGGCCGAACGGTCATTCACTGTCCCCGGGTGCGTGGCTGAAGTGGGGATCCGTGGTGAGGATTCTGCTTGCCGCGTTGTTGTTGTTGTTGTTGTTGTTGTTGTTGTTGTTGTTGTTGTTGTTGTTGTTGTTGTTGAACATTATTATTTCTAAATATCAATTATTGTTGGGACCCCTGGTGCACGACCCCCCCGCCGCGCCTAGGCCGCAGCCTCATTTTCATCATTTTCGTGAGGAAGTCTCAGGCAAAACGGGGGAGTCCGGATCCGGTTGTGTTGTTACGATCGGTTTTCCCTTGCAAAAAAAATAAGCTAAAGTGGACATTTCTTGTTCTAACATAACCAAACTTCAAGAATCCCTTGTAAAAAATAAGGTAAAGTGGACATTCGCGCGCGCAAGACGAAATCCTTCCAAAAGCTTAGTGTTCGGAGCGATTTTACATAAAAACATAAAAAAAAACCCATGGTTTTTCAACAAAAAAATGTCAAAATCTCATCCCGCGCGCTCTTGCGGATTCGTAGGGAACCCAACACTTTTTAAACATTTCTGTCAAACGGGCTTTTGCGAGCAACTTTTTCGAACTTCTGCAACAACGGTTGCGCACCTGCCAGGGCCATCATCCCTGTCAAATAAACCATGCGGGACACATTCGTTTTTTCTTCGCGCGCGCACGCCGTCGTCGTCGGCCGCGGGGCCCTGAATAGTAGCCACGGTCGTCCGCATGCCACGAAGTGAAGTGTCCGAACGTCGTAGGGCGGGAAGCTGGGTGTGGGTGGTGGCGAAGAGTCGTGTGGTAATTTGGTAGAGCTTGAACCGGCCCCCCCACAAAGTGGGGGTATTGCCCGCCTCCTATGAAAACCCTGGCACTGGTGAGAACGGAGTGTCCCCACGTGCTAGTAATTGTTGTTGTTGTTGTTGTTGATGATGTTTGTTTCTTTGTTTGGTTGTTTGTTGTGGTCCCGCCCGCGACCCACCCGCGACCCACCCCGCGACTCACGCTGCAACAAACCCCGCGACCCACCCGCGACCCAACCCGCGACCCACCCGCGACCCACCCCGCGACCCACCCGCGACCCACCCCGCGACTCACCCGCGACCCACCCCGCAACCCATTTGCGACCCACCCGCGACCCATCCCGCGACCCACCCGCGACCCACCTTGCGACCCATTTGCGACCCACCCGCGACCCACCAGCGACCCAACAGCGACCCAACAGCGACCCACCCGCGACCCACCCGCGACCCATTTGCGACCCACCCGCGACCTACCCACATTGGCTTAATGAGAAAATCGGCGCCTGCGGCGGGCTCTTTGTATGATTTGTGAAGCTTTGGCGCCTGCGCCGGGCTTCTCCAGGGTCTCGCAAATTGCTGACATTCCCACCGCCCCCTTACTCTTATCCGCATCTGCGGGATGCTACGTTTACATATACATACATATGTACATAGATGAATAAAAGTATATATATGCATATATCTATATATATATAGATATCGCCAGATAGATCGACAGATATATCGATAGAGATATGTTTCCCAGCGGGGCCGGGTGAAATTCCGTGCTCGCCGGCTGACTGATGACTGACTGACTGAACGTCAGGGGACAGCTCGGGAGACACATTTCAAACCGAGCGCGGGAGCGCAACCAGGCGGCGCAACCACAACCGCGACCGGGCGACACATTTCAAAGCGCCCGCGGGCGCGCACCCGCAACCGCAACCGGGCGACACATTTCAAAGCGCCCGCGGGGCGCGCAACCGCAACCGCAACCGGGCGACACATTTCAAAGCGCCCGCGGGCGCAACCGCAACCGCAAGCGGGCGACACATTTCACCCCGCCCGCGGGAGGGCGCAACCGCAACCGCAACCGCAACCGGGCGACACATTTCAACCCGCCCGCGGGCGCGCAACCGCAACCGCAACCAGGCGACACATTTCAAAGCGCCGGCGGGAGCGCGAAACCGCAACCGCAACCGCAACCGCAACCGGGCGACACATTTCAAAGCGCCCTCGGGCGCGCAACCGCAACCGCAACCGGGCGACACATTTCAAAGCGCCCGCGGGCGCGCAACCGCAACCGCAACCGGGCGACGCATTTCAAAGCGCCCGCGGGAGCGCGCAACCGCAACCGCAACCGCAAGCGGGCGACACATTTCAAAGCGCCCGCGGGCGCGCAACCGC